CACAAAAAACTCGGCATATCTGGGAAAACTTCGTAAAGCGGTCAAAACTGACCAGTTGTATTTCCCTATATAATCTTTGTATTTTATGGGAAAAACAGAGGGTCATTTCAACGCAGACTTTAGGGTACTTAAGCTCAGTATATCTGGCTAATTTTTTGCATGCTCCTAGGTCAATGGCTTGACCTTTAGGGAAAACTGTCGGTTTCACTCAAAGCCCTCGACGAGGGCTAAAATGTGACCGCGAGTGAAATTCTCTTTATATGAGCTCTATTACGAAAAAAAAATTCCTCCGACGACCCCCCTTGATATTTTGTGAGGTGGTAGAAGAACACCTAGGGGTGTCACAAAAAACTCGGCATATCTGGGAAAACTTCGTAAAGCGGTCAAAACTGACCAGTTGTATTTCCCTATATAATCTATGTATTTTATGGGAAAAACAGGGAAATTTTAACACAATTTTTAGGTTACTTAATGTCTGTACATCATGCTACGTTTTTGCATACACTACTAAAGATGACTAGGCCGTATGGAAAAACTGTTGGTCAGACTCAAAGCCCTCGACGAGGGCTAAAAGATGATCTTGAGTGAAATTCTCCTTATACGAGATATATATATATATAAATAAATTGACGAACGATCCCCTTAATATTATGTGACGTCGTAGACCGACCATGGAGGGTAACAAAAAAACTTTATTCCCGTCATAAACAGCCATTATAGTCGTTAAATATGTTCATATAACGTAATTTCTTATATAAGCAAACAATATAAGTAAACAATGACATACGTCATACGTTCAGTTTTCAAGGGAGGTAACGTTTTTAAAATTATTATTTTTCAAATAATTGTATACTATTTTAAACAGAAACAGAAAATGACGAAGTATAGCATTTGTTTTAGTACAAAATTAAGTTGTTAATTTAGTTAAGTATGTTAATTAAATTAATTAATTAATTTCAAAAGGCAATGTAATATAAACTATGAGATATACTGTTCATGAAACCTGTGTAGTTCTAATTCCATTTTAGTTATACATTGCGTACTTTCCAAAAATTCTGTACGAACATAATATAAATGACGAACAAAAACATGTCTTTTCTAAAGTTAGCATTACTGTTTAAATTCAACTTATTAAAGCACTCCACACCCAATCCATCGCTAAATAATTAAGTATTCAAATTCTCAAATGTTTTTTAAAAACCTAAGCGAAGCTAGGCAGTATGCCTAGTAATACTTATATTTATAAAAATCTCATTTTTACTTTCTCGATTATACGAAGTATATAGAAAGTCTTGTAATCGTGCAAAAAAAAAATTGAGATTTTAAAAAATCTCGACGTTTTACACCTCACTGATACGGAAAAACATAATTTTGCACTCTTGTCCGTATGTCTGAGTGTCTGTCTGTGTGTGTGTGTGTCTGTCTGTCTGTGTTTAAACACGATAACTTGAGTATTGTTACAGCTAGGTTGATGAAATTTCTTATATAAGTATTTTATCTAAATCGTAGATCCGTAGCAACTTTTGGGCGATTTCCGATAACCGGAAGTAGTACTTTTTCTACTTTGAAATTTTAAAAAGTCTATAACTTGAGAACTATTTCAGATAGATAAATGAAATTTCACAAGTAAGTAAAAGATCTAATTTTCTACCTTCTGTCAAATTTTTAAGTAATTTCCGTTGACTGGAAGTACTAATTTACGCTATTTCCGATTTCTCAAAAAACGCATGTAAACTTATAAAGTACTAATAATAATATTGCGCACTATTATGCACATTTTGGTGTTCGCTTGGTGCGCAATTCTTTTTTCTATGAGATTCTATTCTATTTTTAAAAGTTTAAGTAATTAAGAATCATGTCTATATTCCAAGTTATATAAGAATGTTCGAGAAAGTTTAGGGGAGACCACTCCCGGTTTATTTTCTGTTTGAACGCTAACAATACTTTCTACATACTTCGTATACGAGAAAGTAAAAACATCATATCATTCCGACCCTTTAACTTTAACGTAATAATTAGTAATAAGGATTTTAAAAACAACAAGTTAATTATTTTACACATTTTTTGTTCACTTTTAACACAATATTAGGAGAACAAATCACGCTTCTAAACACAGTTAAAATAACATTTAAACGATGTTACGAATTGTACCTTTTTTGGTCTTTTTTGAGTGGTTGGTTTGTCATGAACTAAGATATTTTTTTGTTTTGGAATATTTGGTCTTATCAAATATTTTTGAAGTTTTATAAAATGTAGGTGTACCACGCTTAATACTAAAAAATATTTTGCTCTGGCTAATTATGATAGTAATCCGCAGTGGCGTAGCAAGGTCGTGTCCATTGTCCCTAATGTACTAAGTACTTCCAATTCAACCCAGTGCCCCTAATGTAATGGGTGCTTACAACCCCCCAGTGTCTCTAATGTACTGATGTACTGAGTGCTTTACATTTCCTCTAAGCCCTAATAAAGGCTTCCATTCCCCCAGTGTCCCTAATGTACTGATTACTGAGTGCTTCCATTCCCCCCCCCCCCCGCAGTGCCCCTAATGTACTGAGTGCTTCCATCCCCCCAGTGTCCCTAATGTACTAATGTACTGAATGTTTCCATCCCTTCCTTCCAGTGTACCTAATGTACTGAGTACTTCCATTTCCTCCCCCAGTGGCCCACCTAGTGAACTCCGACATGACCTACTGCCCTAATGTACTGAGTGCTATACATTTCCTCCCCAAATGGCCCTAATGTACTGAGTGCTTTACATTTCCTCCCCCAGTGGCCCTAATGTACTGAGTGCTTTACAGTTCCTCCGTCACTGCCCTAATGTACTGAATGCTTCTATTCCCCCCAGTGTCCCTAATGTTCTAATGTACTGAGTACTTCCATTTCCTTCCCCAGTGGCCCACCTAGTGAACTCCGACATGACCTACTGCCCTAATGTACTGAGTGCTTTAAATTTCCATCCCCCAGTGGCCCAAATGTACTGCCTGTGTCCCTAATGTACTAATATACTGAGTGCTTCCATCCCACCCAAAAAGCCCTAATGTACTGAGTGCTTTACATTTCCTCCCCCAGTGTCCCTAATGTACTGAGTGCTTCTATTTCCTCCCCCCCAGTGTCCCTAATGTACTGAGTGCTTTACATTCCCCCCCAGTGTCCCTAATGTACTCAGTGCTATACATTTCCTCCCCAAATGGCCCTAATGTACTGAGTGCTTTACATTTTCTCCCCCAGTGTCCCTAATGTACTGAGTGCTTTACATTTCCTCCCCCAGTGTCCCTAATGTACTGAGTGCTTTACATTTCCTCCACCAGTGTCCCTAATGTACTGAGTGCTTTACATTTCCTCCCCCAGTGTCCCTAATGTACTGAGTGCTTCCATCCCCCCCACCCTCCCTAATGTACTGAGTGCTTCTATTTCCTCCCCCTCCCCCAGTGTCCCTAATGTACTGAGTGCTTTACATTTTCTCCCCCAGTGTCCTTAATGTACTGAGTGCTTTACATTTCTCCCCCAGTGTCCCTAATGTACTGAGTGCTTTACATTTTCTCCCCCAGTGTCCCTAATGTACTGAGCGCTTTACATTTCCTCCCCCCAGTGCCCCTAATGTACTGAGTGCTTTACATTTCCTCCCCCAGTGTCCCTAATGTACTGAGTGCTTTACATTTTCTCCCCCAGTGTCCCTAATGTACTGAGCGCTTTACATTTCCTCCCCCAGTGTCCCTAATGTACTGAGTGCTTTACATTTCCTCCCCCAGTGGCCCTAATGTACTGAGTGCTTTACATTTCCTCCCCCCAGTGCCCCTAATGTACTGAGTGCTTTACATTTTCTCCCCCAGTGTCTCTAATGTACTGAGTGCTTTACATTTCCTCCCCCAGTGTCCCTAATGTACTGAGTGCTTTACATTTCCTCCCCCCAGTGTCCCTAATGTACTGAGTGCTTTACATTTCCTCCCCCAGTGTCCCTAATGTACTGAGTGCTTTACATTTCCTCCCCCAGTGGCCCTAATGTACTGAGTGCTTTACATTTCCTCCCCCCCCCAGTGTCCCTAATGTACTGAGTGCTTTACATTTCCTCCCCCAGTGTCCCTAATGTACTGAGTGCTTTACATTTTCTCCCCCAGTGTCCCTAATGTACTGAGTGCTTCTATTTCCTCCCCCCCCCAGTGTCCCTAATGTACTGAGTGCTAAACATTTCCTCCCCAAATGGCCCTAATGTACTGAGTGCTTTACATTTCCCCCCCCCCCCCCAGTGTCCCTAATGTACTGAGTGCTTACATTTCCTCCCTCAGTGTCCCAAAAGTACTGAGCGCTTTATATTTCCTCCCCCAGTGTCCCTAATGTACTGAGTGCTTTACATTTCCTCCCCCCCCCCCAGTGTCCCTAATGTACTGAGTGCTTTACATTTCCTCCCCCAGTGTCCCTAATGTACTGAGTGCTTTACATTTCCTCCCCCCCCCCCCCCAGTGTCCCTAATGTACTGAGTGCTTTACATTTCCTCCCCCAGTGTCCCTAATGTACTGAGCGCTTTATATTTCCTCCCCCAGTGTCCCTAATGTACTGAGTGCTTTACATTTTCTCCCCCAGTGTCCCTAATGTACTGAGTGCTTTACATTTCCTCCCCCCCCCCAGTGTCCCTAATGTACTGAGTGCTTTACATTTCCTCCCCCCCCCCAGTGTCCCTAATGTACTGAGTGCTTTACATTATCTCCCCCAGTGTCACTAATGTACTGAGTGCTTTACATTTCCTCTCCCAGTGTCCCTAATGTACTGAGTGCTTTACATTCCCCCCCCCCCAGTGTCCCTAATGTACTGAGTGCTATACATTTCCTCCCCCAGTGTCCCTAATGTTCTAATGTACTGAGTGCTTCCATTCCCCCCCCCCCCAGTGTCCCTAATGTACTGAGTGCTTTACATTTCCTCCCCCAGTGTCCCTAATGTACTGAGTGCTTTACATTTCCTCCCCCAGTGTCCCTAATGTACTGAGTGCTTTACATTTCCTCCCCCAGTGGCCCACCTAGTGAGCTCCGACATGACCTACTGCCCTAGAAGCCTGTACGACTGCGACAGCCTGGACACCGTGCTGCACAACTCTATCGACGCCATCATCACGCCCGAGTTCATGTCCTCGGTGCACGAGGACAGCGGCCAGATTGACGAGCTCTGCAAGTGAGTTGTGTCCCCGTGATGTTGTTTTTGTAGCGTTAATTAGTAATTATGTCCCCTGAATTTTTTGTTTCGAGTTCTTTCCCCTGTGTTCTGTGTTTGGAGTATTGACACTTTTTTTTATGTAAGCTAGGACTTGCGTCCCCAATTTTTGTATTCCTATGTTATAAGTTAGCTAGGAATTGTGTTCCCTGATTTTTGGTTGCGAGTTGTTTTCCCTGTCATCTGTGTTTGTTAGGAGTAGCGAACCTGTTTTTCTTTATGTACGTTAGAAGTTGCGTCTCCATTTTTTGTGTTCCTGTGTTTTATGTTGGCAAGGAATAATGTCCCCTATTTTGTATAGCTAGGTGTTGTGTCCCCTGTATTTATAAAGTGATTCTTCTTTCTTCTTCTTCGTTCTTAATTTTAAGTGTTGGAAGGGTTCGAGCCTTATCTGCCAGAGGTTTCGAACTCGAGACTTTTTTCGAATTTTAACAACCATGAGCTTTTTGCTGACTCGACCACGCCTCAAACACAATTAAGTATACGTGTCAACTGGTTATGCGCCAAAAAATGATTAAAAATCATGTCTAGATACCAAGTTGCCATCCCCAGTAATGTTATATAAGACATTTGGATAAGTTTAGGGATCACTCCCGCTTTTTTAATTACGTTATATTGTAATTAAATCATTATCTCGTAAAGTCTTTGGTAGTCTCTTCTTAGTGACTTCAGCTAATAGTTAAGTGACTTGGTTGTTCAGTCCCTTGATAATTATGTCCCTTAGAAATTAAGTCCAATTCAGTTATGTCTCATGGTTGTTAAGTCCCTTAGGCGTGATGCCCCTTGACAGCTTCTAGGTAGTTAAGCCTCTTGGTAGTTTAGTTGATGTTTTTCGACATGATTCTCTCCATCCTTTTAAAGCGGTGTTGGGTATCTAGCTAAACTTTGCTTCTTAGTAATATTGACATTCGTTATTAATTTTATTCTTTAAAAAATGTGTTACAAACAATAATGATGATTTCAGCAAGCACAAAAAAAAAAAAAAAAAAAAAAAAAAAAAAAAAATTTAAAAAAAAAAAAACCCACCTAAAATTGATATTTCTGGGATTTTAACTAAACAAACGAGACCCACTCCAGTGCATTACAAACCTGAGACGGCCAAAGTCCCCGTTCTAAAAATGTAACCAAACCCGGGACTTTGAATCTCCGCTGTATTTGAGGTGGTACTACAGGCTATCGAATGTCGCTTCCTAGACGCTCAGCCGCTTTGAGCGGGGCAGAACTCAGTGTAAAGGGAGACGACTCTTCCTTCAGCGATGTCTGTTTTTCTGAAAGCTTTTTTGATACGGGGGGGTAACTCGAAGATGCTTTCGGTTTTTAATTAGAGAGTGAACGAGGCTGGATACGTGACTTAAAAGAAAAGATCTAGAATTTTCCGGTATGTTGACAGATTTATTAAATCTTTTCGTCCATGAGACCTCGGGCATTTTTTTTTTGTTCACCGGAAGACAAGTTTTATATTTGAGTTATTAATTTATTTTTGGGTTGTGCGTGCAATTAATACCCTACGAAATGTTCGACAAAATTATAATTGTTTTTTTTTTTTAACAAACATTAAATCGATCGCTGTGTGTTTTTAAAGAAAATGTCTGCATTGATTTTTTAAGGACTAGATTAAAATATCTGATGGTGTTCCTTTTTTAAAAATCTATAAAATAAAAATGAGTACATACATTTTATACTGTAATCTTTGCCTTTTTTGTTTATTTATTTCATTAGGAAAATCTTCCCAAATTATTTTAACAGTTATATTTAGTTAACATACACCATGTATAACATGTACACCATTGAGTCAAAAATCCTCTTCCCACACTAGTATCATATTGAGCACTTACAGATTTCTACAACAGTTATATTTAGTTAACACACCTTCGTCATATATCCTCATTCCACACTAGTGGCATATTGAGCATTACACTTACAATATCCTATAAAAGATATCTATATATGTAAAATTCTCTTCAAGGAGACCATAGAAAACACCACGCAGCCTAGCCACCACCCTCATCCCCACCTCTCATGTGAGCTGTGGTTCACCCAGAATATTTACAATCGTAGAGCCGGGTTAGTGAGGATTATTAGGGGCAGATAATTTAGTATTAAACGATTTGAAACGAAGGGGAGGTAACAATTTCTGATTGATCTTTACTTTGTCTGTAAACGGCTGCCTTCACTGGGCGGGAGGGGGGTAGTGTTGAATTCACAAATTATGATTAGGTAATAAGCAGAAAATAAAACAACTAGATGGCGGCGTTTACTAAGTTGCGGGTCAGCTCGTATGTAATAAACACACACCACATATAGCATGTACACAATCGAGTCATATATCCTGATTCCACATTCATGGCATAGTGCCAGGGCCGGCGCTAGCTATAAGGCGAAGTAGGCCGTCGCCTAGGGCGCCATCACGAGGGGTCGCAAAAAGGTTTAATCGCTATTATCAAAAGTACCTAATAAAAAATAACTTTGAATATCTTTTATGAACTATGGATGGTAATATACAAAGGAGTAGCGATCTATTTCGGCGCCTAGGACGAATTATCAATTTTGCACCCCTACCCAGTAGCGTAGCGAGGGGGGGGGGGGGGGCGGGGGGGGGACATATGTCCCCGGGCGCCGACCTTAGGGGGGGGGCCAAATTGAAAGTTTGAAAGGGGGGTGCAAATGAAAAGTTCGAGGGGGGGTGCAAATCGAAAGTTTGAGGGGGAGGGTGCAAATGAAAAGTTCGAGGGGGGGGGGGTGCAAATCGAAAGTTTGAGGGGGGGTGCAAATCGAAAATTTGCTCCCGAGGGGGCGCCAAATTGAAAGTTTGTCCCCGGGCGCCGGAAGGGTCGCTACGCCTCTGCCCCTACCCCAAATTTAGGCCTATATAGGTCTATATTTATTCGCGATTGTGAAAATGCAACCGAACCTCCCAAATTTAGAAAGGCCGGGGCGCTTTTTACCAGTCACTTTGCCTTTTTATTTTGGTGTCACATAATTGATGTAGAAAAGGATTAAATAATTCCGCAATTTAAATTTCGAACATTTCAAACGGTTATCTAATTTTAATGTTGATTTAGTGATCGCTCCAGCGCATGACGGGGCGTTCCAATACACGTGCAATTTTGGTTTTTAATAGGGCTTGTATGTCTCGTTTTCTCTCACTTTGAATTAGAAATCTGTTCTGGTGTATAGTTTTGTAATGACGGGGTGTTCAAAGTAGTGTACTTGTTTGGTAAGTTTTAATGAATTGTTTAGATTTGGGAGTAACGGCTGAAGGCTGTTGCAGATATGGTTTCATACGTATAAAGTACCGAAGTGTTAAAGTGTTGTATTTTTTATTTGGCTGTTGTGTAGTTGTAGGTCTAGTGGAATCTGATTGGTAGTAGAGAAATGAACAGTGTTTCTTCCAGACTTTTTTTCAGGGGGCGCTTGATATTTTCGGGGGAGGGGGGGGGGGTCAACATTTTTCGGGGGGGGGGGGGGGCGGACACTAGTAAAAGTGTATGTTTACTATATAAATTCCATCTCGTTCGGGAGGCGGTAGACCTTCTTCGCCCCCCCCCCCCCCCCCCCCGAAGAGATGCCTGTAAGAAACTCTGGAAATGAGGATGTAGACAATGAGGTATCGTTGTTCTGGAGTCTGGGAGTATCGAGCATTGCGGTATTAAGGTATCGAAGTGTGATGGCTGTTATCGTATAGTAGTAGGTCCAGTGAAATCGTTATTGATTGGGAGTATCATTTGTAAAGCTTGGTGAAGTTAAGCGAGTTGGTGTCGTAGTTCTGGAGCATCGAGTCTAGTTATGTTTAGGTATCGAAGTTTGATATGTGTTGTGAATGTAGTCGAGTATATCGAGTAGTCGAATTTATTGTAAGTTAGATGATTTCAATTCCGGACGGAATACTCTACAAAGAAAGGTAGGCGTTCTCTAGTTGAAAAATCCTGTTTTTTTAGGAATCTATATTGCCACTCTTAAAGTATTAATACACAATTAATAGGCTGGAATTTAAAACTAACCGTAATTTTTTTTTTCTTATATTTAATCAATTACAGCAATTTCGTAATCAGTAAATTCATTTATTATAAAACGTCCCTTTTAATAGGGGATCCAAAATTTAAGCAAGATCTAGCTTCCATGTCAAATTAATTAAATATGTCGTCAATATTGAATAGAAGTATGTTATTATAAAGATACCGTGTTTAGACTTTTAAACAACACGTACAGTTAAGTAGTCGATCAATAAAATATATTATTTGACACCGTTACGTGGCTAAAATATAAAAGATTCGTTATAATTAATATGTAATGAAATTTAGATCATGTTTTTTTTAAGTTTGTCTTAGTTTCACTTGATTAATTTAGCCATTTTTTAAAAAAGTTATTTCCCTTGAATAAAATTTTGTTTATTGTATTTCCAAATGGGAGATAATTCTTTGCTTAACTTTACATTCATTGCAAATTCCTACACCTTAGGTTGGCCGCTTACTTTTAAATACAACTTTAAGTTATTATTTATAATTGTAAAAATTATGTAGAGCAGAAGTTCTAACCAAAATAGTTTGGTATTTTTTTAGCATTAACCAGTTGAAAAACAAATACATCAGTAGCCGTTGTAGATTGCTATACTTAATGTTAGTAGACATACATTATGAGATAGTGCAACAAATGCGTCTAAATTCGTCTTAGTCGCCAATTAATTACCTAATTTATTGGTTTTTTTTTTATATTTTCACCCTCTCCTAAATGATTCATATATAAGAATTGTAGGCTGGATTCTATAACATTTATAACCTTTTATTTTTTTAAAACCAAAACAAAAATCGTTACATTTTACAATTATAACTAAAGACAGTCAAGCTTAAAACAGGTAAGTTCTGTTGTGGAACTCACCTTGGGAGTTCTGCAGAGAGCCCAACACTACAAGCAGGGCCGGCGCTACCTATAAGGCGAACTAGGCGGTCGCGTAGGGGCGCTGT